ATGACCCTGGGACACTGTGACCGTCATAAATATGAATCAGTTGCCAAGCATCTGAATGTAAATCACAAGACCCTGGAGAGGCTGCAACATTCCAGCTGATCGGCGCTTCTTCTGGGCTCAGCAGAAGCACCAGGATCAGTGCTGCTTTCCAGCTGGAGCCTGGCGCTGATCCTGGCGCTTCCGCTGAGCCCTGACAGTCCCGAAGAAGCACCAATCAGCTGGAAAGCGGCACTGATCCTGGCGCTTCCGCTGAGCCCTGACAACCCTGCAGCTCCAGCCGTCTCTCGCTCAGGCTTGTGCGGTGCTACCACCAGTTCAGCTCATTCCCTTCCCCCGCTACCATTTTCTAGGATGGTCGCGTACCACCTGCCAGGTGCCAATGTACCACAGGTGGTACCCGTACCACTGGTTGAAAAGCCCTGTAGTAGAGGACCACAATTCTGAAAGCCGGGCAGTGGCACGAGGCTCACTTCGTCTCCTGCGACATAATGGTCCAAGTTAAGTCTTTTCTCCCTACAGACCAGGGGCTGAACCGAGCTATTTTTGGCCAGCTAACTGGATCAGAGCAAAATGTACCCAAACTTACCAAGTAAATAATGGCTGCTGTTCTCCCTGGAGGCTCCCATCTTCAGGCTGCCAATTCTCTTGGTTGCTATCCCCAGCAGGCCCAGCAAAGCTGGAGCTTCTTATTTTTAGACATGAGTTCGAGCCCCAAGGAAAGCTTCTGCAGTTCTGTACATTTTCATCCAAATATTTGTCTTGGCTTTGACAGTGGAGGCTTTGCTGATAATGCGGGTAGGAATGTGTGCAGATTAAGAAAGAGCATGGTCCTTCAGCTGGGGAAATTCCCCGAGTGAAACAATCAAGGAGCTGAAGAGATTTTGCTGTCTTTTATTCCATTAAAAAGAATGATAATCATTGGGCCCTCCTTCAGAAAGGAAAATGGCACAAGAGCAGAATACATGTGTTTCCAGTAGTACGTGGCGTTTATTTAACTAATTTCATTTCATTAAAAAAGAAGACCCAAGCGAGATTACAAGAGTACATGTCGGTATTTGTTCTTTGGGAACGTTCCTTACACCTGCATCCTGCAGGAATATCTATACCTCGGGAGCAGATAACTAGTTTTCATCCAGCTTGAGGCTATGGTGGTCATGCCAGCTCATTGGGTCAACCTGAGTTCAGTATTTCTTAAAAGCTGCCTATTTCCTGCCCCCGTCTGCCCCATCTGCTTCCTTCTACTTTACATTTTCTCCTTTATTGACCATGCTTCCTTTCACACTTAACCAAGCTGAGGTGGGATCGAACACCAGCAGTATTTGTCAATTTATTCTTGTAGGGGATTGGTACGATCAGAATATTCCAATGTTCCCATTCATAATATCAGAACTGGGGTCAGACACCCATCTCGATGGGCCTTTGGGCCACCATATCTTCACAGTGTGTTTAGAGTTAGGGTTGACTGAAGGCATGAGGCAGGCGAGAAACAAAACAATTCTCTACATCGGTATTTTCATTAAAGCTCTTTCGTATCTATTCCAAAAAAACAAAAGCCCCCATTGTTTTTCATATGGAAATGAGTGTGTGTGTGTGTTTGTGTGTGTGTGTGTTGGAGAGAGGGGGGCATGATATTGCTGACTTCCCATTGTTTTTCATATGGAAATGAGTGTGTGTGTGTGTGTGTGTGTGTGTGTGTTGGAGAGAGGGGGGCATGATATTGCTGACTTCCCATTGTTTTTCATATGGAAATGACTTCGCACTTCTCTGCTCCTCTCCGGAAAGTTATCTGAATGGCCCAGGATGCCCTTTAGGTGCCCTAAAGTGCTGTGATATGCAGAGAAATTGAGGGTGAGCTCTGAGCCCCCGCCCTCCCGGATGTATTTCTTGGGCGTGTTGAGGGGGGGCACGTTCCCCATGGATGCTGCATTCCTGCAGACTTGCGCAACGGCCTTTCTTCAAAGGAGGTGGTTTCCTCCTGGAACACTTTTGGGGGGATACAGAAGGAGGCCCTGGGTTGCTGTACTAGCTCTTACTGAGCCTGCTTATTTGCAGAAAGTGACCGGACGAGATCTGATCTGCTGGTAATTAAAAAGGATGGCCCCCCAACTTAAATTAGGATTAAAAAGTGGGATGGTGGTAAAACGGAATTGAAATTAGGGTGAGGGGGAGTGCTGAATCTTAAATATCAAACTGAATAAAACAAGAAGGCTTGTAGTCATCTATAATGAACTGGTTTAAAGTGTATTTTCCAAGATGGTAATATAATGATTTTCATTGAGAATCGTCCCTTCGTTTCCTTCCCCTGTCTTGATACTCTTCCCTACGCGGAAAGAGAAGGACGGAGATTTTAAGACATTAATCCCCATGTTAAATCCCAAGAAATAAATGATTGCTTGGGCAGTAATTGAGGTTTTAATCAATGCTTCTCTCCTGGAGCCTTTGTATTGTGAGATGGGTGGCAGAATTGCTTGAATAACTCTGCAGAGATGCATACCCACACGTTGAGCTTTGGGAATCAGTAAAATGACCAGATAATGAATATTCACAGTTTGACTTCTCGGTAGGCAACGTGTGTGTGAATCTGCAGTCTACTCCCCTGTGTTTTCCATTGTTGTTGTTGTTAATTGCGAAGTCGTGTTCCGACCCATCGTGACCCCATGGACAACATTCCTCCAGGCCTTCCTGTCCTCTACCATCTTCTGGAGTCTATTGAAGCTCACACCTACTGCTTCAGTGACTCCACCCAGCCACCTCCTTCTCTGTCGTCCCCTTCTTCTCTTGCCCTCCATCTTTCCCAGCATTAGGCTCTTCTCCAGGGAGTCCTTCCTTCTCATTAGGTGGGCAAAGTACTTGAGTTTCAACTTCAGGATCTGGCCTTCTAAAGAGCAGTAAAGGTTGATCTCTAAGACTGACCGGTTTGATCGCCTTGCAGTCCAGGGGACTCGCAGGAGTCTTCTCCAGCACCAGAGTTCAAAGGCCTCCATTCTTTGGCGCTCTCTATCCAGCCTGCTAAGCCTTTGGCTTTCGTCTGTCTCCTGCTTGCTATGCTTTTCCTCCCTTTAGTTAACAACAGCTGATGACTTGCCCACGTTCAGTCCTCTCATTCTCCTGGAGCTTGTGGGCTGGGGTGCTCTGTTTTTACCTGCCAACATTTTCTTTAGAATCCACTCATTTCAAATGTGTTGAGCTAACCATGCCCAATAGCTCTAGATTGTGTAACTCCAGGGTTACACAATCCCCGTAAAGTGATACACTTATCAACTCAAGTTGGAGAAATCATTCAGTGGAAACCCCAGTAGGCAAGTTGAGAATCAGCCAAGTAGTTTGTGTCTCAGACAAATAACCAAGCATGGGCATGTTCCTTCTGGCATCAAGACAGGTCACAGTGCTCACCAGGATTTTTCTAACGCTAATAAATGAGTGCGTGTAGACTAATCTGCAGCATGGCTGCTTATCAGACTCGCCATCTTTTCCCCCCTCTAGGTTGGCACTTATTGTGGGATTAAAACATGAAAGTCGTTTTGCAGCTGTTTGCAAACAGGCATTGTCATGCGCTGAACAAATGTTTGCACTGTTCATGGGATACATCAAGTGTTGCGTGACACAAATCCTTCCAGCAGGGCCCGGAGCATGCATTGTAGACAGGCAGGTCCTGGAAAGGAGACTTTGCAGCATTGAATGTACCTGGATCCTTCTTCTGAGGATGGAGATGTGCTTCCATGGGACCACGATCATTTGAGGGTAGAGTTAAATAGGGAGCTTGCTTGTTGCATACAAACACAAAGGAATGTTCACACAGATTCATTCCTCCTCCTCCCCCCCCCATTTTTGTAGTGCTTCATAGGAGGATCTTCTCGATCCCTTTGTACCCATCATGGAAAGTGCCTATTTCTGTAGCACATAAGACTTAATATTCAAAAATCTGAACTGAAATGAAGGAATGCTGCTGGGAAATTGTTGGAGAAATAGGGCTGCTCAGTGATCTCCTTTTATTTCCAAACTAGACTTTGTGGTTTAGACCTGCCAGTTTCCATGGCAATATAAAAAACAGTACTGTTAGATCATACTCTGGAGATCAAATTTCTAATTCCTTCGGAAATCGGATAAGAAGGAAGTCATGTTCACATTACGGGCGGTGTTGGGAGGGACTCGTCGCTCCCATGTTACGCCGCTTTTGCGCGAGCTGCATTGGCTGCCGGTGGCCTTCCGGGTGCGCTTCAAGGTGCTGACTATCATCTTTAAAGCGCTCCATGGCATCGGACCTGGCTACCTTCGAGACCGCCTCCTGCCGCAGATTACCTCCCACCGACCTGTACGCTCCCACAGAGTGGGTCTCCTCAGGGTGCCGTCGGCCAGACAGTGCCGGCTGGCGACCCCAAGGGGGAGGGCCTTCTCTGTGGGAGCTCCCACCCTCTGGAACGAACTGCCCCCAGAGATCAGGGTGATCCCTGATCTCCCTTCCTTCCGCCGCGCCCTCAAGACGTGGTTGTTCCAGCTTGCGGGACTGGCCTAAAGGGATTTTAAAGGGGTTTTAACTACTTTTAATCAGATTAGATTTAAATATTTCTTTTTAATTAATTTTAAAGGTGTATTGTATTTTTGTATTTTATCTAATTGTTAGCCGCCCTGAGTCCGCAAGGAGAAGGGCGGGATATAAATGTAATTAAATAAATAAAATAAATAAATTAGCAAAGGCTGGTGCTCCTTTATTATGTGGTGCACATAAGCGCACCATACCTTGCCTTGATTGGTCCCGAAACTCCCGCCTTCGTTAGCTATCTGAATTCTAGTATTGATCTTTTCCCGTTCCACACCCCTCCTACTCACATTAACACATCGGGAAAGAATAAAATCACTTTATTTAAGCTAGAGAATTGTTTAGGCCCAAACAAAAGTAAAATTCTTTTTTTAAAAAATATGCATTATGTTTAATATTGAAACAGTTCTTTTTTTTAAAAAAAAAAGAAAAAGTAATAAATATAAAAATAAATTAACATTAATAATGAAATATTGATATGAAGGAAGAATAAACTGTCCAGAAGTCAAGAGTGCATTTAAGGAGCAGTTTGGAAGGAAGGAAGGAAGAATAAATAACAACAAGCTGACTTGCAAAGAGTGGGTCTCTGGATTATTCTTGGCAAACCACCTTTAAGGTGAGGCTTGAGCAGAGACTGCGTAAAGTCTCTTGGAAGTGCCAGGTTAGGTTCATTAAAGAGCAAAGGAGTAAAAAATATAGAAGAAAAACTCCCAGAAGAGCAGCAAAAAAATCAAGAACAGAATATCCAGCAGTTCCTATTATACCGCTGTGGTCTTCTAAATGTGCATGGTGCTAATCCGATTAAAGCTAAACGCCTAGCTTCCTATATAAGCTATAATTATGGACTTCTCCACTTTTAATGTTCAAGAAAAAGACCCCAAGATATTTGAATGTGAAAAAGGAGGAACAGGCTTTTGTTTCAGAAAAAAACTCAAAAGAGTGTGGCACGCCAGCCAGCCAGCGATGGACCAAGGATCTCAGTTGCAGTAGTCAAAGGTTTGGGAAGCAAAATGGAGAAAGGAGATGAAAGAAGGTGGGTGGGGGGAAGAAGGGGTACAAACATTCAGTAGCCTGAGGATCTTTCCAGGCCAAATGTCAGGCTGGCAGAATGCCACGTGGCTGCTGCGCTTGAGGAAATAAGGCACCATCGTCCTGGATACTTCGTCAATTGGCACAAGGCATTTCCAAGATTCCTCAGAAGACAGGCAATAAATACGGGACTGTGAAGCCGAGGGGAAGAGAGGCACTTTAACTGCCAGCCTCCTTAGTGAGAGAGGTCACGTTGATTCTCCACTTCAAGTATATACCAGGAAGTCTGTGAATGGTTCTAGACTGAGCAAGCAAAGAACGGTAGCGGAAGAAGGCAGCCAAGCTACCGCTGCCGGATACAATTTCTCCCGCTCAAATTGGAATGCCAATGGTGGTCACTTGTTCTTTCAGTCCTAAGAGGCTGTAGGCAATTCGCTTCTGGTGTCCTGGTAGACGCACACCGATTCTCTTGATATCCCTGGCGATGGGAAGGAGAGACGAAAAGAATTAGTGGAGAACCTTGCAGTTTTTAGAGCCACTGGATAGCTTAGGCTTTTTTTCACACACACCCCCTTTAAAATAGCCAATCGCAACATGTAATAATTCATTTGCTGTATATTATAGCCTCTGTGCAGTGGGATTGTAAATTCCCTTACAGAGATCCAAAGAGGCCAGAGATCCCGCTGCCTTTAATAAGCCACTTTTGCTTTTCTGGCGGCATAAAACGGCTTAATTATAGGGTAGGTCTTTGGAGACGTCGCTCCTAAGAAGACAGCGGGCAGAGCAAATGGAATTTGCTGTACTGCATATTTTGTTGGGGGGGGAGAGGGGAAAGTCATCGTTTCACCCTCCTTTACTGTGAACACATGACATTCTCATACACAGCTACCCCTAAGTGAATTTTATACAGGAAACAAAATGTAAACTCATCAGTGAAGGGAACACAAATGGAAAAACGAAGCACGCAAGTACATAATTTTCCAAGCTACATTCGTGTGAATGTCTATGGAGCGTCTCAGACATCCAGGTCATGGCTGTCCCACGGTTGAAAAAGCACCTTTGGGACATTCATGCGAACAGAAAGGAAGATGGCATTAAACCTCCCTGGAATGGATTTATTAAGAAAGGTGTCTTCTTCCATTGACACATAACTTTTGCACGGTGTGCATTTCCTGCTTGTTGCTAAAGGTTTATCAATAATTGGCAAGAAAAGGTCTAGTTTTCTGTTTGAAAAGTAAAACAAAGGGATATCCTTAGAGGAGTCCAGCGTATGCTAAGAGAAATCTTAGAAGAATGATATAAATCCTTCCTACGGAGCAGAACAGGGATTTCCAAATGCAGTGGAATGAGATAGCCGGTGGCCCGAGGGGTGTGTGTGTCGAGAGCTCAGCGAGCAAAGGCCCATTTCCCAGGACAGGTGCCTGCAAAGCCACACTCACTCGTTGGTCATCTGCACCACCTTCTCAATGACGTTATACCCAGCCTCTAGGAAGTGCTCTGTGTATTGGTGCATTTTGATGGACTCCAGCCACTCTGCCACAGTTCGGAAAGGAACCCCCTCTGAGCCGCTGGTGCTGGGTAAGCGGATGGAGATCCTTCAAAGACAAAGAAAAGGGCCGCAGCTCTTTAGATAAGTTTTCTTTTAAAAAGGGCTGAGAATCTGGGGACGTGAACGGAGCATTCTTATTTCTGGGCCTGTTCTGACACACATACTTCTAGGTCAAGAGCGTAGGCAAGGCTTTCCAAACTACAAGAAATGTACAAGCATTCGAGAACAAGACATACCGAGGGTCAAACTCTGCCAAGGTCTTGAGTGACTCGGGAGCGCGGATGAGCTTGTCCAGGATGCTGACGATGTCGGTGAATTTAGGTCGCTGACTTCTCTCTTGTTGCCAGCATCGCATCATCAGCTGGTAGATGGCAGAAGGACACTCCATGGGGGCAGGGAGTCGGAAGCCCTCGTTAATTGCTTTCATCACCTATTTGGGAAAGAAAAACTTGGTTGGGAGCCTGGAGAGTCCACTCATCCGAGGAGACCATCCATGCATGAAAAGCTCTGATGGGGGGGGGGGGGAACGGATGGCAACCGGCAGCCTTTCCAAAGAGAAGTGCTCAGATAACCATCCAGCAAAACGGATGGTCAGATAGTACTCGCATCGCCTCCTGGCGGGAATTTCAAAACCCTTTCGCTAAGCTGGACTAACAAGACCCACATTAATAATTTTGGATAGGTAGAATTGATCTGCAGAATGCCTTTTCAAACTGAGGCTGGGTCCTCTGAAAAGGTATATTTTCTGGACCAATGAGTGTTATCTTGGTTTTTGTGTTAGTTTTGCATCCTGGCTTTGAAGTGTAATGAAACCTTAAAATGCTACAAAAATTTGAGAGGCTACGATGGACAGGTGTCTCTTCGTGCCCCTTCCAAAGGGGATGTCTGCTCCAGAGGGCCTGAGAAGATGAAAAGGGAACTAAAGGAGGGCTTTCCTGACTCGGAGGATGGCGAACAGCCTCCTGCCTGGAGTTGTGGGTGAATCCATCACTTGAGGGTTTCAAGAAAAGATTGCGTAGCCATTTGCCTGGAATGGACTAGAACAGTGGTGGTGAACCTATGGCACGGGTGCCAGAGGCGGCACTCAGAGCCCTCTCTGTGGGCACGCGCACCGTCGCCCCAGTCCTAGGCCGTCAGCTGGGTTTTATAAAACTTTTTCGCTTTAGGCCTCCGCCGCCGTGTGCAATCAGTCAATTTCAACTTCTCTCGGAAAAAAAAGATCTTGCAAAGTTGGAATTGATTGATTGAACTTTTTAGTCCCACCCAGTCTGCGGTTACCACTGCAGCCACGCCCACCCAATGGGCCACACCCAGCCAATGGGCCACACCCACCCGGCACCCGACGATGCATAAGTGGGTTTTGGGTTGCAGTTTGGGCACTCGGACTCTAAAAGGTTTGCCATCACTGGACTAGAATATCTCCAAGGTCCCTTCCAGCCCCAGGATTCTAAAATAAATGCCTGGTGAAATCAACTACAGCCGAAAAGAAAGGCTTTTTCTTCAGCTGGAAGAAAACGGGAAGACCCTTTCCTCTGTTCCTGACTTGTCCATCACCAGGAATGTCTTTAGGCCACTCTATAAGCAAGGGTGTTAGAAGGAGGCTGAGGGGCGATGCAGGCGTTTGCCAGGGCTAAATCCCGTACCTGGCACCGGGGTCTCCCAGGGCCTACCTCATGATTGGAGAGCTCCCAGTAAGGCCGATCGCCGTAGGACATCACCTCCCACATCACGATTCCGTAGCTCCAGACGTCGCTGGCAGAAGTGAACTTGCGATGAGAGATGGCCTCCGGTGCTGTCCATCGGATGGGGATTTTCCCGCCCTGAGTGGGAGGAAAAGCAAACCCGCCCATCAAAAACACGGACGCAAATCGCAGAGGAACATGTGTCACCTTTATCAATCATTATAAATAATTTACTATTTTATAAATAAATGTCCTCCTCTGGCTTCAAAGACCTTTAATATTTTTGGTTTTCTAAACGTATGCCCTACCCATTTAGGCTTCTGCTAGGTGGCATACTTGCTTGAATCATGATTTGCTAAACTAGCGGCCTGGCTTTTGTACAATGACAAGCCATAAATCTTGCTTACAAACCAGAGTGATTGATGCTAGGCCAGAACATCCATATACTGTATGTGTATATACTGTATGTGAAGTGGAAAGTGAGGTAGCAGCAGTTCTAGCAAGCGTTAGAGCTCTTTGGCAGATGTTAATGAACAGAAATCAGTTTTGGGCCGGAGACTGGGCCAACTCCCCACTGGTTTACAAGCCTGGGAAGGGGAGTTTCTTCATTCCCCACCCCCCTTTCCTATCACACTGGGCTCCCACTGGAGTCTGTGGGATAAGATAAATTCATCTGTTGACACCTTCCTTTTTAGATCCCTGTATCCCCCCTTCTCTTTTTCCAGATTCTCATTCAACTTAGTGACGGTTCCCTTATGTCATCCCTAGCTCTAGGCATTTTGCTTCAGCTGTAGCGATCTCCCTGTTCTTCGCAGTCATCTTGGCAATCCGTCACTTCACAGGCAAAAGACAGCCATCTGGGATCACTTACGCTGGTGGTATAAGTAGCATCGGGATCATCCTCCAGGACACGGGACAGACCAAAATCGGAGACTTTGCAGACTAGCTGGCTGTCCACAAGGATATTGCGAGCAGCCAGATCCCGATGCACGTAGTTCATGCTGGCCAAGTATTTCATTCCAGAAGCAATTCCCCTCAGCATGCCCACCAACTGGATGACACAAAACTCCCCATCTTTTTCCTGTGGGATAAAAGAGTGGAAGCATTCAGAACCAAACATTCAGAAGCGTTCAGCTAAACGACCGAGAGGAGGATTTAAACAGACGATCGAGTCAAGCTTCCCGCCCTCTTCATTTTTGAGAATTTGAAAGGGTCGATTCACAAGGGAGGATCAGCTCTCTTGCTTTACACGTGAGAAGAGGTTTGGCAGGGGAAAGGGCGTAGACCTACCCGTAGGAATTTATCCAGGGCACCGTTCTCCATGTATTCGGTGATGATCATGAAGGGCTTATCTGGAAAGAAAAGGAAAAAACCCACTCAAGATCTCATCTGTTAATTGCTGCCAGGGGGGGAGGGGAGTGACATCTTGGAGCCAGAAACCAAGAACAAGCTAGGATTCTACCCAACACTTACATTTGGAGACAACTCCTTCCAAATGAATGATGTTGTGGTGGCAGAATTGTCCCATGATGCTCGCCTCGCTCAAAAAGTCAATGCGTTGTTTTTCGGTGTAACCCGATTTCAGCGTCTTTATGGCCACAGGGATCTCTTTCTTGCCAGTTTTCAGAATCCCTTTATAAACTTCACCAAATTCTCCTAACAGAGGAAAAACAGAGGTGTTAAAATAATCTTTTTGGAGAATTCGTGATGGAATGGGAGATTCCTTTTCTGAATAAAGACAAACACCTTGAACGAACCCAATCTGCCCCCGGGAGAAAGCAGCCATGTTCTATTCCCTGCCCTGTTTGAGAGGATTGGAATCCGTACCTGCTCCAATCACTTTCTGTCGGGAAACGCTGGAAGGGTGGATCTCGGTGGTGAACTTCAGGACCGCCTGATTGGGGTCTTCGTAGGTGTGGGGATCCACATAAGTCTTCAGGGGTTTGAGCTGATCTGCAGAGTCAGAGGATAAAAAAAAAACACGGGAATAGCACATCAAGGCTTTGGAGAGAAACTCCGCTGCTCGGTCAGACCCCAACCCAGCATCTCTCCAGGGTCTGCCTCTTAGTGAGTGGATGGAAAGAGGTGAACACGTTTTTTTCTTTTAAAAGATATGAAGAACGAATATTCCTACTCGGGGCCTGCCTAAACGGATTACTGTATTTTGGATCCTTCCCAAAACGTGCAGTGTCCCAGTTTTGTTCAATTTTCCTAGGGCAGTCATACAACCAGTGACTAATACTCACCAGACTTGGAGAAGTAAACATCTTCTGAAGTCTGCCGGGCCCGCGAATTCTTTTTCCTAAAAGAAATTGAAGGGTTAACTGATAGCTCCTGAAAGACAGCAGAGTCTTCAACTCCTCCTACAGACACACATTTGGATTAAAGAAGCCTGTTTTGTAATCTTCCTCCTCCTCCATTGTTATTAAAACTAGGGGGGGGCTGTCTTCAGTAGGAGCCCCAGGAGATGCTTATCAATCTCAGCTGCTGCACTGTTTCCTCTTCAGCTTCTCTCTTCTGCAGAAATGGGGCACTGGGCCTAAGATTAATGTTAATTTTCTTGCAGGTTTAAAAACCGGATAAAACGCCTATCTCTAACTTAGCCTGCTTTCTTTTACTGTAATTCTTGTGGCAAACCCAAGAGAGATTAAACTGACAGACATTTCTCAAAAGGCTAGATGTCAGTCTAGATCAGGGGTAGTCAACCTTGGCTCTTTTATGACTCGTGGACTTCAATTCCCAGAATTCCTGAGCCAGCTTAGCTGGCTCAGGAATTCTGGGAGTTGAAGTCCACGAGTCATAAAAGAGCGAAGGCTGACTACCCCTGGTCTAGATTCTTGGTCATCTGGATGGAATTCTACATTTCCTTGTACTAAACCACCACCACCTTCCCCCCCCCCCCCGCTTCACACCCCCTCACAATTGAAGACACTCCAGCCAAAAAAAAAATAGGGAGAAAATAATCACCTGGGAAGTGCAGTTGCTGGCAAAAAAAAAAAAAAAGGTTGGAGTGAGGCAACTGAAAGGACTTTGAGACATTTCGCCCACCGCCTGCTCTCTTCTCTGGGCTTAAGATTTGTATTGTTTCAATAGCCACAGAGCGCGTTCCAGTGGAGGACAAAAATTTGGGAAATAGGGCATTTTCGGCCCACCAAAAATTCCTCATGTTTGAAAGAAACAGAACCTTAAAATAGTACACAAACCTCTGTCGAATGACGAGAAAAAGTATCACGACGACAGCAAGCGTGAAGACGAAGCCAGCAATGGACCCTCCGAGGACCGCAGCAGTATTCGCACCTTCGGAAGCTACGGAGACAAAAGTGCGGGTGGGAAGCTTGTTCAAAACATAAATTCCCAGGATAGGTGGTTCTCAAGGGGTAACTCTGCCCCCCAATATTGTATTTATTTTCCCTGGAGGGGGGAGGAAAAAAAACCCCCAAAGCAAACTCACTTTCAGGGAGCGTTTCAAACTCATGCTCCATGCTGTGGGCTCCGTGACCCTCCTGCGTCAGCGCCTGGACGCTCACCAGGTACTTAGTCTTGGGAGTCAGCTTATGGAGGGTGACTGAGTTTCCTTCAGAGCGCAGGACTGAGTAGCTGTTTTCATCCTTCTGTAACCAAAAAAAAAAAAAAAAAAGCCCTTGTGGTCACTTTTTCTACTACTACAAAATACCAGCCCCCCAAGGAAGTTGCAACGGTGGCAGAGAGTTATACCTTCTTCTTGTAAGTAACCTGGTACTTCCAAACGTGGCTCTGTTGGCGAGGAGGGACAGTCCAAGATAGTGTTAAACTGGTAGCGGTGCGACTGTCCATGGTCACCGAAGTTACTCTTGGTGGTTCTGAGCAACGAGGAAGAGGAAGAAGAAGGGCTGACAAAATCCGTAGGTCGCCGGTTACGGTTTTCCCATAATTGCCTTTGCCAGATGTGAGGACATTAATTACCTATCAACCCACACTGGATTTCCATAATCGGTAGGATTACTTGAGTGCTTTGTAACGTTAAAAGAGGCTGCCCCAAATGAGAAAACTTTCCCCATTCTGTAGCCATGATTAGAATTTGGATTTGAGCCACATGAACCTTTTCATATAACTATCTAAGTGGCTTTGCCAATTTTGTTTTCGGAAGACCACGGTCTTTTAAAACTGAGGGATTTGATAACTGTATTGCAAAGTTATCTATTTTGATGTAGAACTAGATGACCAACAGAGTCTCCTCAAATACCAAAGAATCAAAGAACTGTAGCCTGTCTTAATTCCACCAAGGGGCTACGAACTAAGAGCCCTGGGCAATAGGCATCTCAACATATCACTAGATCCCATCGCTTTCATCTGGTTACAATCCCAAAGACCCTTACCTGTCTGATTGACACTGATGCTAGTGACTCCGTAGCTGCGCTGGGGACTGAAGGAGGACACTCCATTATGAGCTTCTACGGTGAAAGTGTAGTTTACATGTGGCTCAAGATCACTAATCGTCAAAGAAGTGCCAGTGAGTCGGTTTGGATTGTCTGAATAGCGGAGAATGGTGTCACAAGGCCGGCAGTCCCCTGAGTCTGGCCAGCACTGTTCGCACGATACTCGATAGGTGACGTCTTGGCGGCCCCCCGTGTTCTGGGGTGGAGACCAATGCAGCTTGACTTTAGCACCCAGACCAATTGCCGTCACCCCACGAGGAGCAGAGGGGGGTTCTGTCAGATAGGAGACACAAAAAAAGAATAATTGAAAAAAAAAATCATGCCCGGATCTCTGGGATGCAGTGCCAAAGATGATTACTTAAACGAGCAATTTAACTGATTAACTGCACATTTGCTCTAGGTTTCCATTGTGTATCTCTCTGCCCTTTTTATCTCCTGATGCCTTTCCTTCCTCTTCTATTCTGCGCTTGCTCCTTCCTTCGGTGGATACGGACAAAGCAAAATTGTAGAAGCCAATCCAAGTTTTTTTTAAATTGCAGAATTGTTTTCACCAAACGGAGGCAAAAGTCACAAAAGTGTAGGTTCTGCCATCGGAGTGAATAAATGAACATTGCTCCCTTTCCAAGATCTGATACACACAGACTGTATTGTCCAGCGCTTATCTCAGCTGCTTAGCCCTAGCACAGTGGTGACGAACCTATGGCACGGCTGCCAGAAGCGGCACTCAGAGCCCTCTCTGTGGGCATGCGCGCCATCGCCCCAGTCCTAGGCCTTCATCTGGGTTTTATAAAACCTTTTCGCTTTGGCCTCCGCCGCCGTGTGCAAAAAAAAAAAAAAGGTTCAATCAATCAGTCAATTTTAACTTCTCGCGGGAAAAACAAAGATCTCGCAAAGTTGGAATTGATTGATTGAACTTTTTAGTCCCACCCAGTCTGCCGTTACCACTGTAGCCATGCCCACTCAATGGGCCACATCCACCCAATGGGCCACACCCACCCGGCACCCGACGATGCATAAGTGGGTTTTGGGTTGGAGTTTGGGCACTCGGTCTCTAAAAGGTTCGCCATCACTGCCCTAGCACAATCTTCCCCAGCCCCAATTCTGTTTCTCACTTACTTGTGCACGACATGGACACCGGATCACTTGGAGCCCGGAAGTAGCCTTCCTCACAAGGACACAAAGTGGAGCCTTCCGAAGAAGGCAGCGTGTGCAAGGGACACTTCAAGCAGGCGCTGTTGGCGACATCTTGTTTGAAGAATCCGGGCGAGCAAGCTGGAAGGGAAACACTCTTTTTTTGTAACTGCCATTTCAACCAGCATTAGCCAGGTTTGAGCCAGTGAATGTAGTTAAGACAGAATCAGCTCCAACCAAACGCAAAGACATGGATTAATGGTGGATTATGAACAATTCATTTTCTCGGTCTTGAGTCTCCACCTCTAAAATGGGAAGGAATGTACTACGAGTACTGAAATAAAACCACGTCCAGCAGAGCGCACCTGGGTGCTTTCAGAATGAAGCACTGCTTGGAGGGAAAAACCTGAGTTTTGAAAAACTGCAGCTTCAACTTAAAACAGAGGCGAGACGGGAAGGACAGCGCCCAACCCGAAGTGGGTGAGACCAGAGCATCCGCCTGCTGCCATTTTGGCTTTATAGCATTTCTTGCCGATATCGGCAGACTTGGATGGTAGAATATTGTTGTGATTGTGCTGGCAGGACAGGGCTGCAGAGCAAATACTGTTCAGGTTAAGAGCATTCATATTTACTTCCTGGACAACTAAAGGCTTCCGTCGGAAATAAGCTTTATGTCATCGGATGTTTCTGCATTGACACTTTGCTCTCCTGTGAATTGACTCACTTCCGCTACAAATCAGTAGAGGATAAAGCTTTGGAAGCTCTTGTTTGAAAAGACTATCTATTTGAGAACCAGTGAAGGCCATTTTGAAGGCCCCTGAAGTCACATTCTGCCCACACACCCCAGCAGGGGCACCAATCGGTCTTTCCCATCTCCCACCTCTTCTTAGGAAGAAGCTTGGACAGTGTGAGGCGGAGGGGGGGCAGCTTTTATGAGATTCCCAGAAAATCAAGTGCTGTGGGGTGGGAAGAAAAGACATAGATGGGCTTTTATGAGAAGGCACCCTAGGGCTGCTTTTGCCTGGCTGGTTCCTTTTGTCCTGCTGGAATTGCTGCTCTGGCAGAAGATTTGTCAGGGGCATAGAGTAGGTGGGGAAGCCCTTTGATGACAGATGCTGCTCTAGGCCCAAGGACCCCGATTCAAGTCCCTGCTCAACCAGGACTGGTCTCTGAGTGGCTCTAGGGCAGGGGTCCGTGGACCGGTACCGGGCCATGGCATGCCAGCAACCGGGCCGCACAAACAAGCAAAGCCCCATCCATGGGATGCAGGCAGCACACAAAACCACACACCCTCCAGTCTGTGGGAAAACCACTCTCCACGGAACCCGTCCCTGGTGCCCCAAAGGTTGGAGGCCTCTGCCCTAGGGACACTTTGGCAATCCGTATCTCATGTATTTCTTGTGAGATTCAAGTGAGTAGAAGGGGGGGGGGGGAAAAGTAGCATGGGATAACCGAGGCCCCAAATAAACATTCTACATCCCCTTCGTAATATAACCTTCTGAAACTTGGTAGATGTAATATTTTAAAAACTCTTTTCTGTGTTTCTAAACTCCTCCCTGGACTGGAACTTTTATCACCGCACAAAGATTAAATCAAGCAAACAATGGAGATTACACGTTGAATAGAAAAGCCAGTCTGGGTTTTTGAAAGCCGTTTCTCCAGAAATAACATTGCCACTCCAGCTTGTACTTTGCGTGTGGTCCCTTTTCAGTCTAGGGGGAAACAAAGAGGAGGCAGTAAACCTCCCCTATAAATGGGCAGGCTGAGCGGGAGGGAGGGGCCGGTGCCCAAAGCACTTCCACAAGGAGGAGCAGTATGCACCGGGCAGGGCTGAGATGGTGGGGCTGAGATGGTGGGGCCTATGGAGGCGCAGAGCAGCAATGCTGAAGATGCCACTGAGATCTTGGAATGCATGTTTTTGACATACAGCGTGCATGTTTACCCCTTACTGTTTCCTTCACACCAAACCCAGAAATTTAGGCAGCTCCCATTACAATGAGTTGTAGGTGGGACAATGACAGATGTTAACAATAGCTGCTTATAAAATGCTCAGGGGGTATTTCCATCATTCTGCAATTTTCACTACAGTAAATTGTCATCTCTAAGGCTCAGACCCTCCGCTTAGTCACCACTGACTTGTAGTTTTTCCACGCCAGGGATGGAATTTAGGCGTTGTTAGTTGTGAAGTCGTGTCCGACCCATTGCGACCCCATGGACACCATTCCTCCAGGCCTTCCTGTCCTCTGCCATCTTCTGGAGTCCATTGAAGCTCCCGCCTACTGCTTCAGTGACTCCATCCAGCCACCTCATTCTCTATCGTCCCCTTCTTCTCTTGCCCTCCATCTTTCCCAGCATTAGGCTCTTCTCCAGTGAGTCCTTCCTTCTCATTAGGTGGCCAAAGTACTTGAGTTTCCACTTCAGGATCTGGCCTTCTCAAGAGCAGTCGGGGTTGATCTCCTCCAGGACTGACCGGTTTGATCGCCTTGCAGTCCAGGGGACTCGCAGGAGTCTTCTCCAGCACCAGAGTTTAAAGGCCTCAATTCTTTGGCGCTCAGCCTTTCTTATGGTCCAACTTTCACAGCCCTACATTGCAACTGGGAAAACCATGGCCTTGACTATACAAATTTAGGCATATCTTCATGCAAATTATATACTCTGTTATCAAACTGAATCTCAACACTGTTACAATTGGCTCATCATAGCGGTTGAAAAGCTGGTATACCAGTATATTTCAATTTTAGTTGCAGCTACTATTTCATCAGAGATGGTTCAATAAAGCAAGGAGGAAAACAGGTGCTATGGAGAGTCTACTCCAGGGTTCCCCAACCTCTGGGCTGTGGCCCACTACTGGGCCTCGAGCCCTTCGGAACCGGGCTGTGGAAGTGGCGGTCAGGCGGGCATGCATCCGCGCGCATCCCCACTTGCACAAGCTGTGGGCGAGTGTGGGTGCACACACTCCATCTGGGTGAGTGGCAGGGGTGGGTGCCCACTGCTCACATGGAAGCATCCCCTCTCTCCCCAGTTCCGCAAAGCCGGAAAGGTTAGGGAACATAGAATAGGTACATAGGATTTCTTGATGTAGCTCCTAGGGGAGTCTGCAGCATGTCCTCTAATCAAGATCTGACAGGGCAAGTGGGGGGGGGGGTTAACAATATCTTTGGCCGTAAATTGGCCAGACATGTGCAACAGCAAAGAGGAGTCTGGCACACGGTGAAGAGTTCTGGGCGCATCTTAAAACTGGAACAGGGCCCCCCTCTTCCCCCCCCCCCCATTCTCTCTGTGCCTCAGGGCTGAAGGGGGCCATGTGCAATCAGCAGGCATGTTGAGGCTCTGCCTAGGGATCCGCAGGCAGGTGTGCCAGCAGCTGCTTCCCTGGTATTAACAGGGAGTGGTGGTTATAATGGATAGTCAGGATGTTGCCGAACCGACTGCGACCGTACGCATCGTCTTAAGGTTTAGATTTCCTAAAACTCTTTCTCAGAATGCAGAAAGTTCTAGCAACGCCACCCTTGATGGAGTTGGAATTCTAAATTGTATTTTAGCATTCAAGAGGGAAATTCATACAACACCAATCATGGCATTCAGGCTTTGCTGATATTGATGATTCCCCTAATGCTGCTCCATGACGTCATAAAGGAGCCTCTCGGCTGAAATCCAATTAGTCAGTTCTAATTTCTGCACTAAATCAGCCAATAGGTAGAGCTACCAAACGAGGCTACAAAAATCTGCAGTCCAGATCTTGTAGGAGTTGTGGAGGTAAATGCAATGCTTTTGAAATCAGTATATCACAGCAGCGCGGCGGATAATCTCTGATGAGGCTTTCCCCAGATGCCCTTTTAAATTGGTGCTGATGACTCCTTGCATTTTAAACCAATTATTGCATTAATATTGCTAAAACTAACCGGCCCACTTAATTGGAAGGTGGGACCATTTGAATTGACGACGCGTTACCAGAAATATAAAATGCCAGGTCTTAAGAGCTGGAGCTTTAGATGCTAAATGCAGGCTGGGGAGTCTGGTGCGTTTAATCCCTGGCCTTCTGGATACTGTGCCGCCTAATCCTAAGCAAACCTGGGGTGCCCTCAGGCTTGGCAAAGAGGGGTGACAAAGTGGAAGGTGTGTCAGTTTGTTGGAGAGGGAAGTGGGTGATGGGAAAGTATCTCCCCGAGAATTCGGCTTGCCAGAAAATACACTTAACACAGGAGGTGCCCTGGGCTGCCGACGAGGGGAGCCCCCAAAGCCACTCCCCACATTTTTCTAAATGAGGGTCCAAGCAGAGAGCGGTGTGGGGTGGATGGTGGCCGTGGAACATCTGGCGGCAGGAAAGGAGCAGGCAGGCACCGTAAGTAGGAAGCCCAACATATCTTTGCTGATTCCTTTGTTTCTCACCCGGGGCTCCCTTTTCCTGGAATCCAGGGGGATGGGAGTCCTTGGGGGTTTTTACCCCAAAAGAGAAAGATCATTTTCTGCAACTACTTTCTCGCTGGAGAGGAAGAACAAACCCGGCCCAACACAGCCTGGCTGCTCACCCGTAAAAAGGTGCAGCCGGCCTTAAATGGCCGAAGATCCAGCGAGTATCCACCTGGGGTCTTCTCCGGTATCATTTGGTGGCTCTGTCAAGACTTAAATGCTGTTGCTGGCAGTTCTGAGCAGCCCCAGATGAGCCGGGAGAATCCCTGCTGGAGCTGGGCTGTTGCCCCAGAAGAGAGGGAGAGGCAGGCAGGGAGAAGACAAAAGGGCTGTGGGTGAAGTTTCTGCTTTATGCATCCCGTTCAGAACAGGCTCCTGGATAGGGCGAGGCTCAGACAGGACATTTGGAGGAGCACTTAAGCAGCACGTTGCTCTTTGTAGTAGATGCTCCTTCTCTTCTATCCAGAAGCTTTGGCCTAGCCCCACACCAAGTTCCCATAGGACTAACCTAAAAAAACAAGGACCGCCTCGGCATTTGGGTCCTGGCGAAGCTGGTTATCAGGGGCCAAATGGGACTCGGTGTCAGGCGGGAGGGAAGTGTGATAATGGCCTATCAGATAAGCCCCATAGCGAACGAGGAAAAGAGGGGGGGAGGCTATTGGGAAGTCTGTGTGCTCAAGAGGGCTCCGTAACCTTGAGAGCTCCATATCTCTCTCTCTGCAAACTCCAGGCACATTCCTGAGGCACAATCTGCTTGCCTCAGCCCCCTTGTGCGCCTGTGTCCCTCCTCCTTGCTTAGGCACTAGCGCTTGCTTGATACAACATGCTGGCTTTTAAAAAACGCTGCTGCTGTCTGGAACATTACCCCTAGCCAAGGAATGCCTGGTCACCTGTTGGGACATCAGCTGACTTTGTCAGGCCCCGTGATGGCACCCTGACCTCAGGGAGATTGGGTCTGCCAACGTGAAACGTTGGAGGAGGTAAGGCAGAGTGGTGGCACCACGCAACTTCTGTGCAGCGCCCAGCCGTAGCTTCTAAAGCAGAGAAGGCCTCATGGGCTCTGCCGGGTGCCTGCAAGGATCCGAGATCTCCCTGCCACCCTGCTGTTCTTGTCGAGCAGGAACTGAGCCAGAGACGGCACACCCCAGCCAGGAGACAGAGGGTGTCTCTCTTGGGAGGAAGCTCAGAGGGAGGGGATTGGCTGGTTCTCCAGCGCTTCCTGCAGGGCCAAAGCACACCTGCACAGCCTCCTGCACCACACCTGTGGAGTGACCGCAAAGGAGCCCGGCGCTTCCTCTCCTGCCAGGCATCCAGCTGCAAATGCTTCCCATATGGTCAGTTCCAAGGCCAGACCAGTCCCACAGGAAGGGCAGAGCCCGGGCAAATTCCCACCTCCTCTGCTTGGATAGTTGATGCCCCCCTTCTCGTGTGGCTGCAAAACTCTTTGATTCACCCCAGAATAAGGGACAAGAAGGAAGTGTGTGCAGTCCTTTACACCTGTGTCCATTTTACTCTTTCTGCTTAGCCTCGTCCCAGCAGTATTCCAGCTCCCCCTCCCTACAGCCCAACCAAATGCGATAGAAGAGCCTGCTTCCCTTGGGTTGTCATCCTAGAATCTGCACATTGCTTCACTTTCATAGAAGCCTGAACTGGCATTTTTTCCCCTCCCGTAACTTTTTAAAATGCTCATTTATTTAGTGCCTGGCAGGCAAGAAATTCAGTCAACCAAGCTAGAGGGGCGAGTCACGGTTTACTTACCTTTGCAGCTGTCCCCATCTTTTTCGTATCCTTCTCGACAAAGACACTCGCCAATGGACACCAGCCACTCTCCATCCGAGTTGCAGTGCATGAAGGGCTCCTCGGTGGCCACGGCTTCCGCCACGCACGTCCCAGGCACCTTGGCCAGGTCTTGCGAATCGGCCCCAGCGATGGTTTCCGGAAAGCTGGCCATATTGCGGAAGACTCCGGGGCACTTCTTGTAGTAGATTCGGACAGAGAGGAGCGCCACGCAGGCCCCGATGTCCTGGAAGGCCACGTAGAAGCCCTTCCGGGTGAGGGGCCCGACCGAGCGCACCTCCACGTTGATCTTCACGTTGCGGGTGGTGAAGTCTTCCAGCAGGGTGATCTCGTCGGGGGCAATGGTGTCGATCTTTTGGAACTGGCGCTTCTGGAAATTGATGCCGTAGTCGACGTCCGACTCGGCGTAGAAGAGGTTGAAAGTCTCCTTGCAGGTGCCCGTCCCAGGTGAGAAGGTGTTGCAGTCCCGGACCGTGAACTGGATTTCAATGAAGATACGCTGGGCTTCCCCTCGGTAGATCCAGTTGGTCCGCAGCCAGTTATCCTGATCGCCTTCCTGCACGTTGCAGACTGAGTAAATGTAGATGAGGGATTCGTTCATGACGTTCTGAAGCAGGTCCCACTGGTGGAGGGAGGGAGAAGACCATCACGGCATTGCTTTTAGCATGCTGCACAGCCAGAGAACTCTCCTTGCTCTGGGCCGTGGCGGCAAATTCTAATAAAAGACTTCTAATCTACATTCATCTAATCTCACATGGTCAACTGTGGCTAGGTAGTTGCTTACAAAAACGACAAAGGGCCTAGATCAGGGGTAGGCAACCTTGGCTCTTTTATGACTCGTGGACTTCAACGCCCAGAATTCCTGAACCAGCATGGGGAAAACTTTGGTCCCTTCATGACTCGTGGACTTCAACTCCCAGAATTCCTGAGCCAGCCTGGCTCAGCTTGGAAACCTCTCCCTTTCCCCTCAGCATGGCTGGCTCAGGAATTCTGGGAGTTGAAGTCCACGAGTCATAAGAGAGCCAAGGTTGCCTACCCCTGTCCTAGATGGGTTCCCCTGGCTTTCTTAAGGTTAAGAGCAGTGCCGCCTTTGGCCCACGGCGGCTATTTCTAGTTCCCAGAACGACTTTCCGATGGTCATTTTGGCCTCTTTTTCCACTTGTCCCTCCTTTCAAAAACCAATTCATTTAGCAATATCCTATCCTTGTGCTGTTTAATCCAACGGGAGCAATTGATTTTGTTCGACCTCCTTCGCCCTGCTAACGTTGCTCTGCCTCTAGAACCTACAGCAGAAGGAAGTATTTATTTCTCGGTTGCTCCCTTTTAAAAAATGAAAATGGATCTTTAAAGCAAAGCCTGTTAGGCTTTGCACTAGAGGGGATTTTCACCCTCAGAAATGTAGTGACCCTGGAAAGCCGACTTCGAGCTTTTTTTTTTCTCGACCAGCAGCAATTCTGCAAGCAAGACCTGGAACTTACCCCTTTTCCATACGGATGATTGAGCCATCCAAGATCGCCCTGGGCCTTGGCGAAATCGAGCAGGACAACTAGGAGAAAAGGAGACAAAAGATGCCTTTTAGACAGTATCACCCTCCAAACTGTGGGGGAAACCATCGGAAATCTTCAACGGTCTAGAAACGCACTGAGAAATCAGGATGGGGAAAGACAATTAAATAGCTGCAGCTTTCCTCTGGGACAGCTCAGACAAAGTCATACAGGCCTCCAAATGTGTCACCTTGCCTTGCGACAACGAGAGAAGGGAAGCTCCATCCCCAGGGAGGAATTGAGAATGGCTTGGGCAGGAGGAGGGAGAGGCAAAGACCCCAAACCTCCAGAGGGGTCTTAAGTAAAAAAGAATTAAATGCCATTTACTCTTCCAAACAGAGGCCCTTTAACTATTAAGGGAGGCAGGCGTTGTGCCAGGGGCTGCTCCCTGGAAGTAGAATACTCAATAGGAAAAGGCTATTTTTCTCCCAAAGGCACCTATTTCTATGTATGCGTTTGTCACGTCAGGCCAGAGGCTAGGCCCACAGGATTTATATAACAGCGAACCTCATAATAATAATAACAATAATAATAACAGTAATAACAATAGTAATAACAATAGAAATAATAATAATAATAATAATAATAATAATAATAATAATAATAATAATAATAATAATAATAATAATAATAATAATAATAATAAAGTTGGAAGGGACCTTGGAGGTCATCAAGTCCAACCCCCTGCTCAGGCAGGAAACCCTATGCCATTTCGGACAAATGGCTGTCCAGTCTCTTCTTAAAAACTTCCAGTGTTGGAGCATTCATCGCTTCTGGAGGCAGGCTGTTCCACTGGTTAATTGTTCTAACTTTCAGGAAGTTTCTCCTTAGTTCTAAGTTGCTTCTCTCCTTGATTAGTTTCCATCCGTTGTTCTTGTCCTGCCTTCAGGCACTTTGGAGGATAGCTTGACTCCCTCTTCTTTGGGGCAGCCCCTGAGATATTGGAAGACTGCTATAATGTGTCCCCCCCTCGTCCTTCTCTTCGTTAAACTAGACATGCCCAATTCCAGCAACCGTTCCTTATCTGTTTTAGCCTCCAGTCCCCTAATCATCTTTGTTGCTCTTCTCTGTACTCTTTCTAGAGTCTCAACATCTTTTTTACATCGTGGTGACCAAAACTGGATGCAGTATTCCATGTTTGGCCTTACCAAGGCTTTGTAAAGTGGTATTAATACTTCACGTGATCTTGATTCTATCCCTCTGTTAATGCAGCCTTGACTGAATGGAATTCAGCTTCATCTCTGCAGAACGTAGGTGCTGAGGAGCACCTGAGCTACTGGAATGGGGGCGGGAGGGTCCAAGGGCCTGTAATTCCCTATTGTGTCAGCAGCAGGGCACCTAAGCAGGATTGAACACAATGGAGCAAGTTGAAAGGGTCTCTTAATCTCCTGGCAGTTGCTGTAGAGTCCTAAGTGAGCAATTAGTGCTAACCATCCAACAGAACAGAAGTTAGAGGAGAGCCAGCAAAAAGAATAACATATTCCTAAAATATACCAATGTAAAATGAGCAACAGCGTTTGGTTAGGGTACCCTGGAAGTACCCTGGGTTATATAAGTGAGGCACAGTGGGAAAATCCGAGAAGCAGCCGTTGTTCCCAGGAGAATAAGAGTCCATCCTCTCTGTCAGAGACACAGAGGGAGGGACGTGTGTGCTTTCCCCCTCTGGGGTTCCAAAATCGGGCTTAGCGAAAATTATTTGGAGCGATTTTCAGCTACAGATCAAACATTTTCCGAATGCCCTACATCTATTTCCATTTAAAACACATTTTAGTGTAAAATCCACTGAATGCTATCGCTCACACCTGTATGCACAACATAGTCGCATTCTCCTCATTGTGCTGCGCAAAACATGCTTGTTTAAACAACCCTGGTGCGGCTTTAACTGTTTAGATTATGCATGTTTTTTCTCTCTCCCAAGAACGTCAGTTTAAAGTTCAAATAAATCTTTCTGAGCCGAGTCTGGGACCCTCCGTTGTGCAACCCTTTCAGAAATCCCCTGCCTACTTTTAAAATCAGCAAACGTGGCTCCCCGCGAGAGGATCATTCTTTTGAGATCCCTACGGCAGCATCATGGTGCGAAATTAAAAACGACAAGAACGAAAGACCAGAGCATGTTTTCTATGAGCTGAAAAAAACCTAGCCAGAAGAGTTTGTAACTCCCACACACACACATAACACACTTGGTGTTCACCTTGAGATTTTAGGGGCAAGGATCACAAGCGGAAGCTCTCTTTGGTTTGCCGTATATTATTTCATCGTATATTATTTCTGACCGAGAAGGTGCATGTCTGAGCAAAGGCAGCTGTGGGAGGACAGGGTGGGCAAAGGGGCAAAGCCCTTGGCTGAGAGGGAAGCGGACGGTGAGGAGGGGACGGGGGACATGGGAGGAGCGCTCCATAAGACGGGCTTCCTTCACCCAGCGTCCCCTCCGGAATTGGGCCCTTGTTTCCGTTCCCCACGAGATTCCCCATCCTGGAACAGCAGTCACGAGACGTCAGCCGGAGAAAGGGGTTGGTGGAGTTTTTCGTGTCTGCAGGGGGGGCCTTGTGTGGTGCGAACGCCACTTTCCGCACCCCGTTCGCCCGGTGGCTATGCAAACACCCCACTGTCTCTTCCAGCCAGGCGTGTTGGATAACGCAACAAGATTTGGTTGCCAAATTGCTGAAGTTGTCATTCAAGCCACACCTGAGCACAGTAAACACAACCTGGCCCATCTCTCTCCTGATGGGTGGGTGACGATGGCATTTGTTCCTTCAGAGCTGGGACAGAAAACTCCCTTTTTTTGGGATAGGCAATTTCTTGACCTGGGCTGCCTTATTCCTTTCTTTCTGTTAAGAGTTTGAAATTACCCTGATAACTTACACACGAGAAGAAATGTTGCTTCTTCCCCAGAAGAAAGTCCCACACCTATTCAAAGCTATTGTCTGCAGAACTGTATGTGTGTTTGTGTGTGTGTGTGCGCACACGCGTTTGTGTGTATGTGACTGGCTTGGGACTGACTCTTGCAGCGCTTTAAGGTGTATTTGTGCGTCCAAGCTTAAACTTCCCAAATCTTTAGATAGAAGTGGAGATGAAATACATTTTGCAGTAGCTGCTCCGCACCTGTGGAAGCATTCCCCACTTCCCCTTGTCCGAGATCCAAGCCACGGAGTATCCTGTTCCCCGTGTCCTCCTCTGTGAGCTCCTGGCAGCAGAAGGGGCCCTTGGAAGAGCCAAAGGCTGTTTCATTCTGGCTGGCCGCCATGTTATCTTGATATGCCTCATCTCTGAATTCTTGCACTTCGACCCGAGAAGTGGGAGTCTTGGGAGAGACAAAGGGTGACTAAGCCAATCGTCAGGGGTATAGAAGGCGAGGCTTTACCTGCGTTAAAAGTCTCGTCCGGTTTCACAGACCGCCCGAAGGACTCTTCCTCGTCTTAGAACGAGGCTGCCGCACGTATCGAAAGGGGCGCCGTGCATCCCATTGCTTATTTTGCCAGGATTCCCCAGTCCCTTTTACAGCACCCTCCTCTCCCAGCCTGAACTGTGGAGGTCCCTGTTGCCTCGTAAGTCCATGTGGCCTGTTGCATTTCCAGCTCCGTTGCCATCCTAGAGACGTTACTGGCTCCGTCCGGCCTCTGGAAATTCTGGATCCCACCTGCCTTGTGGGGGGGCCTGTGCTTCCCTGCCACACACAGCCATTCATTTCTGCAAGAATGGCCAGGAGATGTAAGGGTCACCAAGTCCAGGTGCATGAAGAGCGCGGGTGTGTGTGTGTGTGTGTGTGTGTGTTAGTTAAATGGGGAGTGGATATCTATATAAATAAAAATGTAAATGTTCGTTTGTTCAAAATCTTAACTCTCCGAAAGTTCTTCACCGATTGCTTTGAAATTTCGACACAACGTTGCATTCCAATACGCGCGTGTTTTTATATACCTACTATTATATAGATGTCACACCGGTTGGCGACCCCCAGGGGGAGAGACTTCTCTGTTGGAGCCCCCACCCTCTGGAACGAGCTGCCCCCAGAGATCCGGGTGATTCCGGATCTCCCCTCCTTCCGCCGCGCCCTCAAGACATGGCTGTTTCAGCTGGCAGG